ATATTGAGAGATTCATATATTTATTTAGTGTTCATCTTCAGAAGTTGAGTATTACTCTGTAGCTAGGCTTTATCACCATATATTGATTTTTTTGTCACAGTGAGGGCATGTTGTAAACAACATTACTCTTTATAAAAATAAACCAATAATTTCTTGTTGAAACGTGACTTTGAGAGGGCAGCTTCTTACGTAGTCCAAAACATATCCTCTAAAACTCAAGGGTAGTGTTTTAGAACAGGAAAGATATTTTCTTGAAAGAAGTTCTGTTTCTCCACATCAAATATATAATACTATCATCTCTAAGAATATTTTCGAATGTTCAGACTGACCAGAAACGACTTTGTTTTTCTTTTTATCTTAGCTTTCTGAGAGCTCTGTCCTGCCAGAAACATGGGACACTGAATATGCTCAGGTTGAAGTGCCCAGGTAGAGAACCAGACTGAAAAAAAGTCAGAAGTGAAGTGAATGTTACAGGGCTCTGTGAGTTACCGGCATCAATATTTCCTGGTATTTTCTAATACTTTATAGACCAGATCTTCATCTTTGAGTCTCGTTAGGACCATGTGATACAGTGTGACCTGGAGACCTAGCATCCTTATCTATGAAACGCAAACAAGAGGGCACAGCTCAGCTAGTTGTTCTTCGGCGATTCCATTTGCATTCTCCTTTGACTGGTACGTGGATGCTCACTTTATCATTCCTCCAGAATCACAGGACAGGCTTTTTCAGGGAGCAATTTCACTGCAGGGTAAAAGTGAAAGCTCACAATGAGTTACATCCTTGTGCAAAGAATTAATTGTTTTAATTTTCAAACACTACATTAAGAGAAACAGCAAAATGTCAACTATAGTAAGAATACCGTTCCCGTTACCCTGAGATGATGTTGCTTTGAAGCACTTTTCTATCCACAAAACAAAAAGTGAGAACTAACTGAAGATGGGGAATCGGGGGGAGATAATCAGTTATTTAGGTGGTATTCAGATGGTAATATTGCTGAGAAGAAATATTTATGTGAGACACAAGTGTTATTACCATTTGAATAAAGTGATAATTTTGTTTTATTAGTAAAAAGATTTGCACATATTATTTGTAGTGGTTTATGATTGAATTAACAATCTGTTTTAATTATCTGGCCTCTTCAATAAGTACTGTAGATTGCTGCTTATTTGCCTTTGAAAAATGAATCATTTGTTCTGACGTTGAATAATATCTCCCAGAATATGAGGACTGACAAAACTTTTCACTGATTTATTTCAAAGATGATATTTTATGCTATCTAAAAAGGAAAACCATGGAACACAAATAAAGTAGCTCTATAACTGTGGTAATAGATTTATAAATAAAATGCATTCATATATTATCTGTGGGAGTCGATTTGGTTATCTGTGAGATAAGATGCTATGGTAAGTTTGCAAGCACCTGCCATAATGTTGAAAGATGCTTGGTTCAGAGAAAGAGAATGGGACTGGGGGGATTGCTCAGTGGTTAAGAGCATGCACTGCTCTGGAAGAGGACTGGGCTTGGTTCCCAGCACCTTTATCAGGTAGCTGGCAGCTTCTTCTAACTTCAGCTCCAGGAGATCCGATGCCCTTTTCTGGCCTCTGTGGACATTGCAATCACATTCATAAGCACCTCCAGCCACATATACATATAATTAAATAACAAAAAAGATTCTTTTAAAAGGAAGAACATTAATATTCTGGATTTTGCCTCAGAAACCAACACATCCTATGAGCATTGATATTTGAACTTTCAATTTTATTTTTTAAATGGGATGATAGGACATACTTTACAAGTTCTTGTTAAGATTCCCTTTACAATGCCTAACAACAATTACAGCGTTTTGAGAGTTAGAAACTTTACATCTACTACAATCTCAATTTGCTGTTCAGTAAAAGAGCTTAAAATATTGGACAATAGAAAATGTGACATTGTTTTCTGTTGATGATATTGTAGAAAGGGAAGACACTACGTCGATGTCTGTGTCTTTGTATGTGTGTGTGTGTGTGTGTGTGTGTGTGTGTGTATTTTTTAATTTTTTCTTGGCCTCTAAATCCTCATTGTATCTACATATTTCTCTTTTTTATGTAATAATTCTCATGTTTAAATAAAGCCACTGTGATGTAAGGCCACGGTATGCACATTGTTCTGAGCACTCAGCTATGAAAAATAAGTGAGATTCATGATAGTATCCTGTTTTAACCTTGTTCACCATATGCACCTCACAGAGTTAGCTACAGTGAGTTCCTCAGCTGTGTAGAGCTACATATAAAGTCCGCCTGGAATATTCACCGATGGTCATCTGAAGCCAGAATCATCCAGTAACAGTGGACAGCAGCCAGCAGCCAGCAGCCAGCACTTGGCCTTGGAGTGGCACCTGTTCCTGGCATTATGATCTCTTTTTTCTTCAGCCATTCTTTCCTGATGTAGAGGAGTACCTTCTACAGAACAGACTGGTCTTGCACTTGGAATTCATATGCAGGGACATGAAGTCCATTAGCCTAACTGTAGAAAATCTTGAATGAAAAAAACTGATGTTTTTCTGACCCTCCTAATCTTAATTCTCATTCTGACTGTTCTGTTCTCCTATTTCCTGCTTCCATGGGGGAATCACCTTTAGTATCTTAAAAGTTGATAGGCAAAGAATTAACATTTTCTAACCTACCATGCTTTCTGGATTCCCACAGTGAGCTACAATATCTCTTGTCTTTCATTATAGAAATGCTACCAGGGCCTATTAGTCATAATCTCGCTAGGACACCATTATTTGTATACTATGATGCTACTTTTAATCAGATTCCATGTGCACAGGGCAGACACACGTGCACATGGACACAGATTCACACAAATGTATCTCTACAAACAGCACTTTATAGCACAGCTCTATGCACATTTATAGAAAAAATTAAGAAGTTTCTTGTCTCACAAAATCATGAGGACTTTTTAAAAAATTTCTGTGCCAACAGGCAAAATCATTATTAAGGAAATAATGATTTCTTTTGAAAACTTGAGGAATGAGAAGTGTGAACTTACATAGTTATGAATATATTTCATTTTGTTAGTTTTGAAAAGTAGAAAACACCATTAATATAAACTTTAAAATTCTATTTACATAAGTAATATGATTGAGAGAAAATTAATATTTTGAGACGGGTCTTGACAGCAAAAACAGGATGTGTGAATTGCTACATAAACCATAAAACACTCTGAAACATAAATAGCATGTTAGCACCTATGATGATTTTCCTCAAGATATAGAGATAAAAACATAGAAATACTAAATGTTGCTGTGGATAAAAACTTATTTTTTAAATCTGACTTAAAATCACAGAGCATAATTGGATTCTTTAGAGAAGGGAGTGACTGGACAGGTTTATTATCTGTCTGACTCACTATCAGAAATTCTCTTGAGGAATAATCCCAATTTTTGTGCATATACTACACTGATGTCCTGATGGCCAAAGGTTCTGCAAAAGCTTTGTTTGATAGAACACAAGAAAAAAACAAAAACAGAATAAAGAAACAACAGCAAAAACTGTATTAAGTTCATTTTGTTTTTAGGAGCATTTAACATTATGATTGAGCAGACACAGACCGTGCCTGCCCCCTGCTGTGCATGTCGACACATTACACCTGTATCTAAAGGGAAATATATGAAATATTTAAATAAATGTACAACAAATACATCTGAATTACTATAAAGCAATTTCTGGCATATAAAGTAGCTTAGAAGTGATTTTCACATCAGGTGTTTTAGATATTGCTGTAATTACAGAGTGCAGACTGACTGATGGAAACAATAAAAAGTCATTTCTCTCAGTTCTGGAAGGAGGAAGCCCAAGAAGATAGCAGCAGAGTTGGTTTTCCCATTTATCTGTAGAGGATTTTGTCTGTATGGATTGTATCAATGTTTTTACATCTCTCTTAACACACAGTTCCAACCACAAGGGAGAATTTACATGATTTTTCTTTTATAAAATAATAGAGTCTATGATGAGATTATTCAAAGTCTGTCAGTGGATTTGTTATCGAAATTGAAATCCTCTTCTGCTCCAAATTTCACTGCAGTTCTCAAATGATATGAGAATCTTTGAAAACGAGGCGTGCTTAAGGAGCCAATAAGATAGGGGATCAAAAAATGGGATTAAAAACCGCCACAACAAAAACCATATTCTTGCTTTTCTTATTTGAGCAATAGTCATACTTGAGTAAGTACAACCAGCATGCATTTAAAATTAAGTTTCACATTGGACATTTTTGAAGGCATGTGAGGTCAGGATAAAGTAGAAAAAAATCACAGTTTTACGGGCATGGGAAACCGTTGTTCCTCGTTCTCTATCTGTGAACTGGATTTGGTGTCCAGGTCTTATGGGAAAATCTCAACTGCCATGTAGGGAAAACACTGGAGGAAAGGAAGGTGAACTATGTGTGAGTCATCACTGACATTTAAAGGGAAGGACGAGGGAAGTCATTTATTTTACCTGTATCAGAGACAATTTAATTAGTTTATTTAGAAGGGTATTTTAATCAATTAAATTTGTTCTGTGACAATCTCATATGTGTTTATAAGGCATTAATCCCACCACCCTCTCCTATTTCCGTCCTACCCCATTAACCTCCTCCACCCTGCAAGGCTCTTTCCCATATCGGTGTCTTTTTATCCTCTTCTCTTTCTTATTCCTCTCCCTCCTTCCTTCTTCTTTTGACACACTCAGTTTAACCAGGCTGGTCTATCTGACCATGGATTTAAAACTGTCCCATGGAGCCCAGTGGTCTCAGCAATGGTCATACAATTGAAGGCAGTGATCACTCATTGTAGCTAGAGTTTTCCTGCCTTGCCCACAGTCAGGACAAATCTTTGTCACCCGCCAGTCCCACAGCCGCTCAGACCCAACCAAGTAAACACAGAGACTTATATTGCTTACAAACTGTATGGCCGTGGCAGGCTTCTTGCTAACTGTTCTTATAGCTTAAATTAATCCATTTCCATAAATCTATACCTTGCCACGTGGCTGGTGGCTTACCGGCGTCTTCACATGCTGCTGGTCATGGCGGCAGCTGGCAGTGTCTCTCCGCCTCAGCCTTCTGCTTCCCAGAATTCTCCTCTCTCCTTGTCCCACCTACTTCCTGCCTGGCCACTGGCCAACCAGTGTTTTATTTATTGACCAATGAGAGCAATTTGACATACAGACCGTCCCACAGCAACTCATCCCAAGGATCTATCAGTATGAGTCCTTTTCCATCTATGACTGACTATTGGCATTGTCAATCATGTGTTGGCTTTGTGTAAGTAACCACAGCTGCCATGAGTTCATTACTTTAGTAGCTGTGGCATGCTTAGAATTGAAATTTCTGAACCCTCTCCTTACTGGTGCCTGACCCCTCTCCCATGATGTTCTCTGAGCCTTGAGGAGGAAACTATTTTGGGGCTAGGCAATAGAAATGATCAGAATGTGGCCACTCATGCTTCAAAGTGAGTGGAGGTATTCCCTTTCCCAGACTGGCAGGGAACTAGAAGAGCTTTGTTTGCTTTCCCAGGTTCTGTATCACTCTAAAGCACGTGAAAACTGTCTACCGGATCAGAACACTCAGCTCTTTCAGAGACATGTACGTACTGTTCAGCTAAAACACAGGCATTCTATTCAGAACTTAGCTATGCACCCAGAACTGGAAAAGATAGCATTCTGATACTTTGTAAAACATGTTTGCTTTATTTTTTTCTGCAAAGTTTTCATTAGTTCTTTAAGAATCTTTGTGCAATGTCTTTTGATCGTACTCACCCTCCTTTCCACAGCCCCTCCAAGACCCACCCCTGCTCTTCTCTACGCCACCCATCCAACTTTGTGTCCTCTATCTTAAGCAAATCAAGCCCTGTTTGTGTTGCCTGCATACCCTTCGGTGTGTGGCCTTCCACCGGGGCATACTTGGATACAGAGAGGCCACACTCAAAGAAATTTGCCCACCCTTTTCCCTTCCACCAGCAATCAGTTGTTAATAGCTCCTTAGTTAGGGGTGGGATGTCATTCCTACCCCTCTTCTCTATGCTGGGATCTTCTCTGGCTTAAGCATGTGCATTCTTGTTCATATGTCTCTCAACTCTCATCAGAGAAGTTACTTTCTTCAGTAGATGGTGAATAACACAGAGACCCACAAATTTTCAAAGTTCAAAGAAAGAGAGACTGTTAGTGTTCAGTCCTAAATGGGGCACCTACATCACAGTCTCCTCCCAAGGCTCAGAGGTCATAGCAGAAGAGGAGGCAGAAAGACTGTTAGAGCCAGAGGTGGTGGATAACTACTGGAAAAGTGTTTTCTGGACAAGTCAGGCACATTGTACACATGAACACATTCTTTTATATTGTAAAAAAATCCTAAAACTTTTTTTAGGATGACGTATTATCAACTGGAGTAAATTGCCAATGTAACTGTAGCTCTGAAGAAGGTCTGTGTCTGTGGTCCATCTTGCAAAGTGAGGCTGATCCTGCCTGCACATAATTCCTGCAGTGTTGTCTGCCCTGTGATCAAATGTCCAAGGCAGCTGAAGGATATCGCATTGAAAAGCCACTGTAGTCATCATAGTTCTAAACATGAAAGTCATCTGTTTCTCCAAAGTCAGTGTAATCTTGATACAATTTTAACTAACCCCATAAAACCACCATGTGCCACTTAATAGACGAGTAAAGGGATATTGGCCTTTAGGTATTTCTTTAATCATCTGTTTGTGTGTGTGTGTTGTTTTGCTTTTTGCAAACCCAAATGGTGCTCTATGTCATTTTCCCTAGAAAGAAGTTATTTTCACTAGAAGGGGATTTATGCTTTTAGATAGCCCCCTTTAGCTTTCAAATGTGGTAGAATTTTTTTCAGCTATTTCCATACATACTAAGGACCTAGATGTCACAGGCAAAGGACACTTTCAACTTAAGTTGCATGACTCTGTGGTTCAGATATAAGTAAGAGGAATGAGTTCACATGGTCCAGGTGGGTGGGGTGCACACGAAGCCTTGAAATGGAAGCAGCAGATTAGCTTTCCACTTTGGTCATCTTCCCCTAAAGATACTTCTCTTTTTGTTATGAGCAATGCATATTTCTAGTGTGGTCCTTGTCAATTTGCATTTAGGCTTACCTGAGTCACTAATTTGCAAAGAAAAGCTTAAATACCTCCACACACATTATCCTATATCTTTTTTTTTGTAAATAAAATAAAAGCAAGTTACAAACAAAAATGCTTGTGCAATTATGGCCTTAGACTCACACAATCTAAATTAAACTCTTGGTTCCCTGAGAATGGTAGTGTACTTGCAAATTTTGCAAATTGTCACTCTGTTTACTAAAAAAAAAAAAAAAAAATTGCTTCAATAAAGGAAGCCTCTATCTTTTAAAGCTGCTTTATAAAGCACTCTTATTTAACGGTTCTGCTATGATAACTAATGTCTTAGGGTTTCTAATGCTATGACAAAACACCATGAACAAAAAAGCAAGTTGAGGAGCAAAAGGTTTATTTGGCTTACATTTCCATAACACTATTCATCATTGAAGGAAATCAAGACAGGAACTCAAATAGGTCAGGAACCTGGAGGCAGGAGTTGATTCAGGAGCCATGGAAGGGTGCTGCTTACTGGCTAGCTCCTCATGGCGTGCTTAGTCAGCTTTCTTATAGAACCCAGGATCACCAGCCCAGGGATGGCACCACCCACCGTGGGTTGGGCCCTCCCCCATCAATCACTAATTAAGAAAATGCCTTGCAGCCAAATCTTATGGAGGCATTTTCTCTACTGATGGTTCCTGCTTTCAGATAACTCTAGTGTATGTGTCAAGTTGACATAAGACTAGCCAGCACAACTATTAAAACAAATTCTCACCCATCTCTTGCATAACTTACAGCCTTATTGAAGACATGCAATAGGAAAAGAGAAGGTGGTCTTGATAGTGACTGCACAGAGATAGAGAGTGTGGAGACACCTTAGTGTTCAGTGGCAAGAATGCTGACTGACCTGAGCTGTGAGGGTTTACATGGAGAGCCGAAGCGGGGAGGACATTACTTTCAAGCTAATGCATACAGATGAGGCAGAGTGGAAGAGGGAAGGGAGGTACATTCTAGAAATTTCTCACGAAGCAGCCACAAATACGTGACATCTAGCTGGTTGTAGATAAGCGATAAGCGCCTACTGAGAAAAGACATAAGGTATGATGAGTATTAAGTATTAAACTTGGCCTTCAAAGTCCATATGTTGGAGCTCTGACCTGCAGTGTGATAATGATTTTTGTGGTTGTGTATTTATTTACTTTAATTTTTATTAGATTTTTTTATATAATGTATTTTAATCCTATATGATTCTCTCCCCTTCCCTAAATTTTCCCAGATTCTTTGAACCTCCCTAAGCATCCAACTTTACATTTTTTCCCTGAAAAAAAGTTTCAAGGCAAACAAATAAACAAACAAACAAACACAAGCCACAAAAATAAACAAAAGGCACACACAGAGAATACACAGGATCCATTTTGTGTGAACCAGCTACTCCTGAGCATGAGGCCTATACTGAAGTGTTGCTGATATACCCAGTTACACTCACTGGAGAAAACATTATTTTTCTCCTTTCCCAAAAGATATCAATAGTAAACAGCTTCTTGGTTAGAAGAGGAACTTGTGTAGGTCCTGTGCCAGTTGTCACAATCTCTGTGAGTTCACAAGTATATGATGCCTGTTGTATCTGCAAGATGTTGCTGCCTGGGAACTACCCACTATCTCTGGCTCTTTTTTGCCTCTTTTTCCGCATCCATCTCCGATACTTAAAAGGAGGGGTGTGGTAAAGATATCCCATTTAAGGTTGAATGTTCCAAAGACCCTCCCTCTCTGCTTTGTCCCCGTCGTGGATCTCTGTGCCAGTTCCCATCAACTGCCAGAAGAAGCTTCTCTGATGAGGTTTGAGCAGCTTGCTAATCCATGGGTATAGCGATATGTCATTAGGACTATTTTATTGTTATGCTCAGTTGGTTGAATAATAGTAGTAGGTTTTCCCCAAGGGCCTATGAACTATCTAGTCTTGGGTTCTTCACTACTTCAGCAGAGTCGGATATGGGCTCTGTCTTATGGAATGAACCTTATATCCAAGGAAAAGTTACTCCCATAACATTGTGCCACAATTGCACCAGTATATCTTACAGGCAGATCACCATCGCTGGTCACAGGGTTCATAGCTGGATGATTCTCATGATTGGTTTTCACCTCTGGAGGTGAGACCAGCACCTCCCAGCACCACACACACACCAGTCAGTAGGGCACAAGCTTCTTGCTGGGCACGAACTCTACTTCTTCACTTCCAAGACTGGCTCTGATTATTGAGATGTGAGGAACCAGCTTGAGTTGAGTCCATGAAGGTGGAAACGCCATCCTCGGATTAGCACCCTTAAACGAAGAAACACCCAAGAGTTCTTTTGTTTTCTCATGCATCCCCTCACTCCTTTCCTTTTTTTTTTTTTTTAAACAAAATATTTAATGTGTCTGAGTCCTTTTGCTTGAGTGTATGCATGTGTACCATGTAATACCCTGTGCAGGTAGAGGCTGGGTTCCCTGGAACCGGAGTCATAGGAGAATGAAGCTAGGGGACACCTTGGTCTGCTGTGAATTTGAAGCACTGACCTGTAGAGAGTGTGAAGATTAGCTTGGGAAGAGTCAGGGAGAGGATGAAGAGGGGCGGGGCTTACCTCATCCTCTGCTGGGCCATTTCACTGACCGTGGGCAGACTCACAGAAGAAAAGAATCAGAATGGGCCTTTTAAGACCTTTAAAGATTCTGCCATACTCAGCCCCACTTCCTGATGGGCCTGGCCGCCTCCTCTTTGCCACACTCCCCACTGGGCCTGGCCTTACCCTCCTCCCTCTTGTTTGGATAATTTCCCAGATGTTGGCTGTTCCTCTTCTGAGCAGTCGCTCACACAGCTGTTGTCTCCTGGTCTGAGAGTTCTCAGAGAATATGTGTCTTCTCTTTCCCTACCTCTCCCTTTCCATTTCACTTGGATTATCTTGTTCTGTGGTTTTGGATCATACCTACTTTCCCTGAAATAAAGT